TGTGTAGGCCGGTGACCGCTCTTGATCGCTAGGACTACCACCATGCCTGGCTATTATTGTAACTGTGGGATGTCAGTGAATGCAGACTGAGTATCATAAGCAATGTCTGAAAGTACCTGTGCTATACTTATAGTCCTATGCTATTTTGGGAAAAGGAAATCAAGGACTTTGGCATGGAGAACAGATGTGGGACTTCTGGTCAGCTGAGTAGATACAATTTTCATGTTGAATGACTTCACCTTTAGAGAGGCACAGTCCTAAGCAGTGTCATATTTAAGCAGAAGAGTCACATAACAAATTATCACAGAAAAGACAGGCGAAACCTGCTTCATCCTCTCCCTCCCCATCTCTGCTCTAGGGAATTTATCTTTTTTGGTACATTGAAGTTAATCAGAGTGATTGGTTTAATCTGCTAGAAACTAGGGCCTCATAGCATCTGCATTCAACATTGTACTTTATAAGCCTAAAATTTACTGAAAAGTTATTCACATAACTGAGATATAGAGGTCCTACTTAAAGAGGATAGTTTTCTCAAGCACCCAAAAACATGTACCTCTTAGCAGTCACATTGGCATAAGTCCACACAAGATCTTGGTCAATTATTGTTTTTAGCTTTTATTTTAATCAGTAGTAGAAGGAATTTCTGATGACTTTGGAACTTAGAATTTTTGCTATTCTGGGGCTGGGAAGGTGGCTCAGTGGTAGAGCGCTTGCCTTGCATGTCTGAGGCCCTGGGTTCGATTCCTCAGCACCACATAAGCAAAAAGAAAAAAGCCGGAAGTGGCGCTATGGCTCGAGTGGTAGAGTGCTAGCCTAGAACTGAAGAGCTAAGGGACAGCACCCAGGCCCAGAGTTCAGGACCCATAACCGGACCCAAAAAAGAAAAAAGAGTTTTTGCTATTCTGTGTGTCCTGGATCAATAATTTATTCTAAGGATATACTGGAGAAATAAATATTTTTTAATTATTACAATTTTAGTATCATTAAGTATTGATATAGAGGGAGAAAGGGGTTTTATAAAGAAAAATATTTACCACAATAAAAATTCATGACAACATTTTTTAATTTTTAAATTCAAGATTGTGTTTAACGATCTTTAAATAAAGATCGTTATAAAGATCAACAGGAGCAAAAACCCAAAGATTGATAAATTTGACTATATAAAATGTAACACTTCTTCACTATTAAAATGTCCTTAAGCCAAAAACTAACTAGATAGCCTGGAAAAAATATTCCTGAAATGTACTAAAGAGAAAATTAATTTACTTAATATTTTAATTGTATCTGAAAAATCAAAAGGCTAATGACTCATTAAAATAAGGAATATGATAAAGTTGCAGCCTTTTTCTAAAAAAAATATATACATGGATGCAGCTTTACTTGTTATGAAAGACATGTAAGATAAATAAATAATTCAGTTATTCCCACTTGTCAGACCAAGTCCAATTGATGGAATGTTGTGTAATGTTGGCAGGGTATGAGGCAGGAAGTCATTCCTACACATCATTGGTATGGAGGAGATTGAGTTTGTACCCAACGTTGTCATCTTTGGAGAACTACTGATGCTACATGTTGCAGAAGAAATTTGCATGTGCTTTGGATTGCAGTTATATTTCTATTGATTTCATTTAAAAGCCTATCCACAAAAGCCCATGAAGGATTTGAAGTGATATTCCCAGCATTCAAAGAAAATTAAACCATCTTTCAAAACTCATCAGTGAGTGATACATTGGAAGATATAAGAGTTGTTTAAAATAAATAGGTCTACACATGATATCATGAATGGAGACAAAAGAGTTATATGATAATACTAAATCTTAGCAATTAACATATATGTTCTTGCTATAGAAAAAGACATACACATATGCAGAGAAAAAACCATCTATCAAAAGACATACAGAAACTTGTCAAATAGTTGTTGCTTTATGAAACCAGAAATAAAAATTTGGCATGGAAAGAAGGTCTAATTTTCATAGGACAATTTTACTTAATAATGGCAAACATTGTACTTATGGATGACAGCGTCTCATCTTTGAAGCCACGTGCATGTTAGGCTTAATTAGCTCTGTTTTCCAGCAGGGGCATTGTGATTTGGAAAGCCTGAGTAACTTGTCCAGGGTCACACAGCTGGTGTCCTTGTTCCTGCATCAATGGAAAGATTTACATAAACAACAAGATGTGCTCTTCTCAATAGATTCCCATATGTTCATGATTTGCTACTTACTAAGGCTGGATTCAATTTTTTTAGGAAACAATAAATATGCTTTCAAGTATTTTTAGTTCAAAACAGGAATGTGGACTTTCAGCTATACCTTCCAGAATGTTCTCCAAATTCCAGAGTGTTATTCACAATGCTAAGAGGATTTTTTTTCCTTCTTTGACACTTTTTGTCATACAGAATGTTGAGCCTGGGAGATGGAAAGGAACAGAAAAGTAACATTGTTGGATCTCAGAACCAACTCAAGGATTAGGGAAAGACTTGGAAGAGCCTGCTTGACTCCTACAATTCTAAAACAAGAGAGGAAGAAATTCCATGGAATATCCTCTGATTCTGTGGGTGGGAAGGGTAGATGCAGAGGAAGAATGGCATTAAGAATGGGCAGGTATGGCTCAAATGGTAGAGCACCAGCCTTGAGAGTAAAGGTAAAGTGCAAGGTCCTCTGTTCAGGAGATGGTGTGCACGCATGTGCACGTGCGCACACATGTGCAAACACACACACACACACACACACACCATCCAGAAAGAATACATTACATTGACTATGCCAGCAGTGGTTAAGAGATTCGGCTGCAAAGCAGAGAGATAAGTCCTATGTGTCTGGAATACTAGTGGATTTCTGCCAGCAAAATAACCCACACATTTCTGAATTAGTCTCTGTCACTCTGATACTGTCTGAGCTTTTGAAGTTTGTAATTAGTCATTCTATTGTTGGATATTTAAGAGGGATTGTCTAGATTGAATAGGAGCGTCTCTTCCTGTCACTTTTAATTGGTCACTGGTTTGTTGACTGGACATACGGGCATACATAAGACAACTTTATATCCTAACATAAAATGTTAGACCTCACATTTTTTTTTCTGATACCTGGCATTTAGCAGAACATATTAATTATATTACACATAATTACATTACATCTTTATCATTTTAATTAAAGCTTAGCTTTTCCTTGTTAAAAGTCAACTCTTGAAAACTTCATGCTTTTTAGATACTATGCTTGATGATTCAATATGTCATGATATTCTATACTAGGCTGCTAATGGGAAAAAAATCAGTGAATTATACTGTAATTGCTCAAAAAAATTCTTGAACTTACAAATAAATCTTGGTCAATGTTTTTATATACTCCCAATAGTAAATAATATACAGCTTAGACTCATAAAGACTATGAAGAAGTAATTGCTTCAATCTTTTCAATATGCAACTAAAAATGCCCAGAAATATTTGGTAAGTTATTTTGATCACAACTCAAAGTAATCACTAAGATCTATGACTTCATGTGTCTGAGTCAGGAAGGTTTGTAGGTTGCAGGGAGACCAGGAAAAGGATATACATTATATGTCCTCATGGAGAAACTGTACTGTAGTAAATTAAACTCAGAGTTCAAGGAGTTTGGGAAGACTGCCAGTACTTTCTGGGTAATTCTCATCTTATCTAGGGGAAGGGAGTTGGATTACAGATGGGGAAATGGAAATTCTGTTTTGTGTTCTATTTTCAATCTTAAAGTCATATTGTTATATTGAATCCAAATCTGAGTTATTGGAAAAATGCACTTTACATGATTTGAGTAGATTTCACACTAGAAACAATGATTTGAAAATTCAGATCTGGAAGTAATGAGGAAGTCATATTAGAAAAATTTCTGAGCTTCAGAAAACTAAGAAAAACATTCAGTGGTCCATTCTTATCTCTTATTTTCCTTCAGGAGATGCTAAGGGAATTATTGTTGGTATAAAAGACAAAATAAGTCTTTAAATGAGAGGCATTTATTGTTTTTTCAATATTTTCAGGATAAGCTTTAAAATATTTAAGTTGGGATGTACTTCTCTAAATCATTATTCTGAGACAAGACTCAAAGTCAAAGAATTTCTCAAGATCATGAGGGCATAATTACTTTATTTTAGAGCTTCTACTGTCTCTGTCCTTCTTAGCATTCAACAGGATTTTTAATTTTCCATTTATTGTCATGACTAATTGGTGAGTCTTTTTATTTGTAGAACCTCATGAGACTAAGACTTCATAGAGATGTTTTATTCTTACTCTACTATTATTATCGTCTCTCCATAACTAAGCATTGTGACTAAATAAGTAACAAATGTTCAATAAACCCTGTGTGTGTATGTAGGAGGGAGGGGAGGGAGAGAGAGGGAAGGAGTAATTAAGTAACAAATGTTTAATAAGTCCTGTGTGTGTATGTATGAGAGACAGAGAGACAGAGACAGAGAGGGAGTGTGTGTGTGTGTGTGTGTGTGCGCGCGCGCACGCACATGTCAGCATTAGGGTTTAAATTCAGGGTGTCTCGTTCTTGTTTAGCTTTCTTAAGGCTGATGCCCTACCCCTTGAGTGAGCCACATCTCCAGTTTCTCGATGAGTCATTACAGGATGACTAAATTGTTGGGATATTTGTGCATGTGAGGTGTGTGTGCGTGCATGTGTATATTCAGACTTGCTATCACCTAGCTTTCTCAGTCAAGGCTACTGCTCTATCATTTGAGCCACAGCTCCACTTCTGGCTTTTTGGTCGTTAATTAGAGATTTGAGTCTCAGGGACTTTCCTGCCTAGGCTGGTTTTGAACTGCAATCCTCAGAGGTAATTACACTACTTATTATGCTACTCAGTGGCTAGGATTACCAAAGTGAGCCACGGGAACCCAGCTAAATTGATAAATTAAGGTAGCTAGGCATGCTGTTTTAAACATGGCCCTGCCGTTCAGTCCATTCTTTACTATGGTTGGAGCAGTTCTTTATACTGATGACGTTCTTCTTTTTGTTGTTTTTCCAGTCAACTTTGACCACTTTGAGATTTTGCGAGCCATTGGAAAAGGCAGCTTTGGGAAGGTGAGAATGGGCTAGATTGACCTCTACCAGAGTTATATGGCTCGGGGATCCAAGTCTGTGAAAACGTTCAGCTTATTGAGAAAGTAGGACCCAAGGAAAAATCACTTAAAAATGTTTTTCTAATACACACATATAAAACTGTCACTGCAAACTGAGAACAGTGTGTGAAAAAGTAGCTACATAATGAACCCTACACTGTACTTAGAATCATTTCATTCAGCCCAAAGTTACTCTCATTAGAGCTTGAGAGCTTCCTATTACCTTAAAACAAATTCAGATTTCAGAATTATGTTCAAATTTCTCCAATAACATTTGTCACCATGAGAGTGGGAAAGGAGCTACCTCATTATTTCTATTTCCCCAATTGTACCATGTTTTTATTTTTAAAAACCTCTATGAATAATAGACATTGCATGACTGTTTAACTTACCATGTGCCATATATTAAGAGAAAACGACATTTCCTACCTCATAATCAAACTTGTATTTAATTTATGGTTTGAGTCTCTAAAAGAATTTCAATGTAATAGACACCATATTTGGTATACTCTTATGTCTGGAGTCCCTCTCATTGCAGCTCATGTCTCTTAGCCACTAAATCAGAATTAAGAGTATTTGTCATTGTTGTTAGTGTAAGAGGCCTACTATGGAGACAGATTAAATATTGTCTGTTTAAAAAATCCTAGAACTTATTTATTTATTTATTGTGACAGTCCTGGGGTTTGAACTCAAGGTCTGGGCATCTTTCCTGAGAGTTTTTTGCTCCGGGCTAGTACTATGTCACTTGAGCCACAGTTTCATTTCTGGCTCTTTGGTGGTTGGACATGAGAAAAGAGTCTCACAGACTTTTCTTTCCCCATCTGGCTTTGAACCACGACCCTCAGATCTCAGCCTCTTGGTTAGCTAGGATCACAGGCAGAGCTACTAGCACCTGACTTAACATTTTATTTTATTTATTTATTTTTAAGCAAACTTGTTTAAGAAAGTTGAGGTTCAAGAATTGACCTCGTGCCTGAGGAGAAAAGGACAAAGTACAGTGCAAAGTAGGAATTTTAACATCTGAGAATATGCAAGTTATGAGAGACATCTCAGCCATGCTGAAGAGTATTTTGTCTCTCTTAGAGCTACGATCTGTTGTCTCCTTAATCGCTTCCTGGCTTGGGTTTGCCTCCTCAGGTCTGCATTGTACAGAAGAATGACACCAAGAAGATGTATGCCATGAAGTACATGAACAAACAGAAGTGCGTGGAGCGCAATGAAGTGAGGAACGTGTTCAAGGAGCTGCAAATCATGCAAGGGTTGGAACATCCCTTCCTGGTGAATTTGTGGTAAGCAGCTGGGTGAGAGTTCTGTAGGGAAGTGCCCATGTCTTCCTCCTGACCCCCATCACAGCTGGCTGTCTGAGTCCTGATTTGCAACTGGACACAATCCTCCTTGGGATCTCCTTGGTTTTTTGCTCTTCTTGATGTCTTTTGATTTTTTTAATGAGACAAAAGCTTTAACTCTTCTTTCCTTATTGTATGCTGGGGACTGAATCTAGGATCTTATGCGTGCTAATCAAGTGCTCTGCCAAAAGTTTGGTTTGTTGTCCAAAATAAGTACTCCTAGGCTCAGTTTTCTCAAGTCCCTTCCTTGTTCTTGAGGCCAATATTCCCTCCCTCCCTCCCTCCTTCCCTCCCTCTCTCCCTCCTTCTTCCCTCCTCCCTCTTTTCCTTCCTTTCTTCCTTCCTTCCTTCCTTTTTTCTTTCCTTCTCTCTTCCTTTGTTTTTATTTTTTGTGCTAGTACTGTGGCTTGAACTCACAGCCAGAGTTCTGTCCTTGAATACTTTTTCATTCAAGGCTGGCACTTTACCACTTGAGCCACAGCTCTACTTCTAGCTTTTTGGTAGTTCATTAGAGGTAAGAATCTCAAGGACTTTCTTACCTAGGCTGGCTTCAAACCTCAATCCTCAGATCTCAGACACCCAAGTACCTAGGATTTCAGGTGTGAGCCACTGACACCTGGTTTATTTCTTTAGTTTTCATATCGTTTTTAAAATTATCTTTAAGTAGTTTTATAGAGGAGTTTCAATTCAACCTGTCAGTTTATGAGTACAGTGCATCTTGATCAATGCCAGCCAATACTTTTTCAAGCCTTGTAATTAAGTAAATTGACAAGAAATGGATTCAGATGTCTTATCGCTCACACTTAGTATTTCTCATGAACCTTGCAACAGGAACTTTGGTGACAAAGGATAATCTCAGTGGTCATCATGAAATTGATCTTTCAATCTTGTACAACTCTTTTCTCCTCAAAATAATTGGTAGTAAAACTGGTTTATTTGCACTGTACTTGGTAAACCGCTATTGATATATGTGACCTGGAAAAAGAATAGGGGCTCACTTTCTCATCCAATCGGCTTGAAAAGAGCTGAAGCTAATTTATGTTCTCTGGCTAAACGTTAACTATCTATGATCTGTTCTCAAAATGATTACCACACCCCAAGATTTGGAAAGTGTTGAAAAGCTAGCAGTGTCTGTTACCTCTGCTTTTCTTGAGGCCTTTTATGTTTCTCTCTTGTCTTGCTCTACTTTTTATATGCATCCATTATGTTAAGAGCTGGTTCTTAAAGCTAATTCAGCATGGCTGTTATTTAAATATGCATACCAAGCAGTTTTTACTTACCAGTAAAAGCAAAGGAAAAAAAGTCTTTATCCAAAGAATGCTAATGGAAAAATAATTGAGATTTCAGTGTATGTTTAGTACAATCTTTCAGAAGAATCAGTGCATAAAACTTGCCTCCATCTGTCTTCAACTAATACAGTTCATTTAATATACAATTTGCTCAAAGCCTATATGCCACCACTGGAAAATAAAATGGCTCTGTGAGACTTGGAAATAGATCTATTGCAATTTGTGCACTACTTAGACAAGGGGAGAGTCTAATTTTGACTCAGCATTTTACAGGAGCTTATTCAAACTGCTGCTATGTAAAGAGAAAAAAAGTGGAGGTCTTCTCACCATTAGAATGACAAGGTACTGTCACCACAGCCTCCATTTATTCAGAGTTGTATCTTCCTTCTTTAAAACTTCAGCAGACTCATTGCCTTTTCTAAAAGCTCTAAACTCTTCATAAGGACACACGTGAAATTGTGTCGTTGGTATTTCTGTCATTGCTCCAAAGCCAAAGTAGATTTCGTTGAAACCGTGTGTTTGTAACACATGGATGCACGGTATTTAAAACTGGGTGGAGTTTAAAGCTTTTTCATTTGAGTATAGGATAGTTTGCTTCAACAATCTTTCAGATATGGACAATTATATTTATCTAAAAGTTAGGCTGTTAAAACCCACACCTCTTTATATTTAATATAGAAAAGATTTGCCTATTTCAGGAAGAAAAATGTGTCTAAGTAATTGCTTTTAATGTTATTTTATACTATGAGTAACAAAATATATTTAGAATAAAAATTTGTTATTTGAAAATTTGGTGTCATTTCTGACAATGTTCTGCTGTGCATACATGCTGACCTGGTGATATAAATATGACATAAATATAGATCTAGATCTAGACATATGGATAGGTAGATGACACATAGATTAATAATAGAAAGATAATAGGTAATAGATAATAGGTAGGTAGTTAGATGGATGTTTGTTTTCTGTAGGTGCATATGGTATGTGTGTACACAGCGGTGTCTGTATATAGCATGTATGCATATGGTGAGTGTGTATATGGTGTGAATGTACATGGTTCTTTCTTTGTTCTCACTTCTCACGCTGAAACTCACAGTGGAGCCCTGACCACCCTGATGCAGATCCAGGAGAGGGAAGCAGACCCTTCCCTACACACATACCTACATCCAGTGATTCCAGCAGCAACCTTAGGAACTGGAAACTACTGGGAGAGGACATTCTCCGAAGTACAACAGATACAATTTGTCTTTTGAACTTTGAGACAAAAATCTTTACAGAGCATATATATTCCTTTTAAAAAATGTGTCCTACCTTGACAAGTGTGTACAGTGGTTTTAAACGAGTCTTCCCACAAGTATTAAGCATCTTGAAATGTTTCTGCAGTTGTGGTTATGAGTCATTTATCATTTTAAGTCACACTGTTAGAGACTAGGGTAAACAAGCACTGGTTAATGAATAAAATGAGATAAGATGCTATGCCTAAAAACCAAGGTCCAAGTCTTATATTCAGTTTTTCCTTTCTTGCTCTGTGGATGTGAAGCATTCTAGCCTTCTGAACGTGCCCGTCATGAATGGACCAGTGTGAATGTCCAAAAGACAGATTTGAATAATGCTTGCTTCCAAAGCATCATGAGAAGTTGTGGGTGGGCAAGTGGGCACGTGGGGTTTGTCTTCAGTTTTCACTACAGCCTATGCTTTTTTTCCTGCTTGTTTGTTTGGGGTTGTTGTTTTCTATCTTCATTCTGAAAATCAGGCAAAAAAATCTTCTAATATTTTATAATAAATTCTCTAAGTTAGAGTTATGAAGTCTTATATTCTGGGTTAACTGTTAGATTTTTCTTAATATCCCCAAAGCTTTGGAGAGTGATTTTCTTGGAAGCATTGCATAGTTTATAAAACAATGATAATGTGCGACTTTTTCCCATTTTGTGCACTCCATTTACTGGTATGCTTTGAAATCTTTCCCACATTTCTTTGAATAATCCCTTCTCTAAGATCAAAATGTTCCTTTACCTCTGAATGTGTTCAGATAACTTTAGTTTGAAGCTGAGAGGAAAGACAGGTTTTTTTCTTCTAGGTATGTTTTAGGTTTGTATTAAGAAATTTGCACATATAGGCATACATATATACATATAAATGATACTAGAAAACATTTCTACTTATTGCAGTCAATTCAAAAACAGAAAAAAAATCCATAGACAAATGAAAAATTGTATTAATGTGTTTGTGTGCTTTCCAGCAGTATTTCTGTCCACATTTGATTTTCTGGCTTTGTTCCTCCGTTAGCTCTTTTCATTCTTGATATATGGAGTTTGTATAGGTACCTACTTAGCACAAGAAACAAGTTATTATTAAGGGTGATGAATAAAATACAACATGCAGAGTTATATTTTTTTTTCAGAGTTATATTTGAGTTTCAGTCAACACTCAATCATTTTAGCCCACATCCTAAGCATCAGAGAAGTCATATATTAACTGAACATTAGTCGCTATACCTTCATTTGTTAAACATGGCAATGCAGGGATTAGACAGAGCTCTGATCTGCCTGGGATTGCCATTGGCTGGGAGAGACTGACATTAATCAAATGGCATTTGAATGTGTGCACTGTGGAAATGCATGGAGGGATTAAGCAGAAGGCTAGAGAGTGCTTGTGAGTGTTGCAGGGAGGATGTATGTGCTGAGAAAAAGAAGCTCAGTAGGTGAGGTCAAGTGTGTTCAGGGAGGAAGAACATTTAGAAATAAAAATCAGCCTCCATGGATGTGGCCCTGCTCTGGGACAGTCTTCAAATACAGGCCACATTATCAAGTAAAGGCTGCCAGACAGGGCTGGCATCCAGGAAAAGTAAACAAGACCTTCCTGCTAGTCTCTCCCTGAAAACTATTAACAAAGCCCTGGCAACCCGAGGCTTGAAAACAAATAGGCCCCTCACTCCCAGCACTGCCGGTTCCCCAGGTGGCCTTTGTTAATTGAGATTAAGCCTGCAGCTACACACAACTCTTCAGGGGCTCTTCCTCTTGCTCTGTTCCTGGTATCTGTGAACAGAAACTGTCCACATGTGGGCTTAGTAAATTAGCAGGCAAGATCATCTGTTTGCAGGGGGAAGGACTCGCATTGCCTCATGAAGACAGTCTTAGACTGAGAACTCAGGTGGCTTTAGGGCCCCTAGATCATTTTAATATTGTCCCTATAAATGCCATCTTCTTACTTTGGGTTTTACCTGTAGTAAATCGTTCTAACCAGTTTGGTTGGTAGAGATTATTCATCCAGTTTTACACCTGAAGAAACCAAAGCCCTAGTTGGCTAAACATTTTCCTTAATGTTATAGAAAATGAAATTGATACAGCCAGGACTCAAACCTAATCATTGAGACACCATAGCTTCTCTTTTCACACTACAATGTTCTCTGTGGACAGCTCTGAGACTCCTGTACAGAATATGTAAGGGAGCAGATTTATTTTGACAATTGTTTTTCACATCCCACATGAATATAAACTCCACAAGGCAGATGTATTTGTATATTTCTCTCTGTCTTGGTCGGCATCTTTTACAATGGTGCCTCACATACAACAAGTACTACCTGTTGAAGAAATGAAAAGTAAGTCAATGGCGGGACCAGGCTTCTGACTCTCTTGACATCATGCAAACATACTC